GTATCTAGGTTTATCACCAGTAAAGTGTTTACGTCTTGGTGAGAGAGAAATTTGTTATTCTTGTTCTTGTTGATTTCTGGTGGAGGTGTCGTTGATCCACTTCGCAAAATAAAGATTTATAAACCTATTTAATACTATTTGCTAGTGGTAAGCAGCATTGTTTCACAGATACGGCAGTTAACTGCTCAAAATCTGATTAAAGTGTAGAAAGGAAATAAAATGAGTTGAACAGATTGTCACTTGGGAGAATGAGAATAGTCACTTGACAGAGTGAAGAAGTAGAAGGGTCAATCACCATCCTACCTTTATCATCTGGTTTTGATTCAAATATTACTGTTGTGTATGATTAGTTGTTCGATCGGGCACTTATATTCTTTATAATTCCTTCCAGACAGAATAAAGATTCCTAAATTATCTAAATCATCTACTTTCCAGTCAGAGTAATTCATTGATCTAAGTCATTGAGTTCTTAAGCCTCTTTGATCGCCTATGTCATTCACCTATCTTCTGTTGATTTCTGGAACCGCAGGGTAGATTTCCTCCATTGTCATAGACTAGATTAAGCAGTTCTAAGGTTATGCTTCCCCTTCAAGATATTCATAACCATGCAAGCACATTTAATTAAGTGACTAAGTTCATTAAAAGGTTAATTAAATCATTTATTTAAGCACAACACATCATCAAGAAAACTGAATCAAAACCTTCACATAAAGATAGTAGGGATTGAACCCTTAACTGAGTTAGCTACTCATGTTTATTAAGTTAAACTTGGCAAATTGACAATCTGCCTCCTTGAGGCAGCAACTTCCAGCAGTGGAGGTTTGGCTATTCTGCAACTTGCCGAGTTTGCAAGTTGAAGTCTTTTCTTTGACTGCTCACTCTCTTCAGCCGCAATCAGCCATCTTCTTCTCATCATTGCCTTTTTTGTTTTAGTATTCTTCTCCGGCGCAGTTCCTCCAATTTCCAGGTACAAATTTCTATTCCTTCATTCTTTAATCCGCAGCAACTCAACTAGCAGCAGTAGCAAGCAGCAGCATCAGTTGCATGTTTCCTTTCATCATTGTGTTTCAGCCCCCAATTCAGCCTAAATATTTCTGCCTTTTCCTTCCTTGTTTCCTATGATCACTTGCAACACCATTTCTCACCTAACTCCTGCTACCAATCCATCAATTCAGCAGCAGCAGTCACAGCAGGTAAGTAGCATGTTGTAGCTGCTATTTTCCACATATTTTCCCTCTTTCTCTTCTTCAACTTGCTGCAGCTATAACTTGAAGTGATGGCGAAGCACTTTCTTCCTTTGAGAATTCAGTCTTGGCTCTTCCTGATTGACAGCAGCAACAGCAACTTCAGCAGCAACTTGGTAGCAGAGTAGCTGCCATTTCTTTTTCCACTATTGAGGTAGCCAGTGCAAAGTCTTCCACTTGAATCCATCTGTTACCAATCTTCCTTACACAGCTAGGATTTCTCCACTTACTTCAGCTCTGATAGATCCTCCAGCGGCTCAATTTCCAGCAGCTTCCATTCCAGTCCATTTTGATGCCCTTTTGTACAATATAGGCATCTTTTATGCTAATTTTTTACATTAACCCTCCGAGATACCTGAACTGCAAAAATTACCCCAAAAGTTAACTAATCCTAACTAATTGACACTAAATTATAAATAAAAATGAGTAGAAAATACCTGCTAAAAGTGTATATATTTTACTGTCATCAATTTCTTATTGCGGGGTCACTCCACAAGTCCGCACACACGGATTCACATCTCCAGATATAGTATTCGTTCGGTCCACAAACTTCAATATACTACAAGGTGAGTCACAAGTCCGTTCATATGTCAACATGTTGTGAGCTTGGATATTATGTTAAAGTTAATTTGGAGTTCTTTAATTGACAATGATTGGAATAGTTCAAAGAACTTATAAACAAGTGAAAGATCATTCACGATAGTGAAATAGAATTCTTTACGCCTACGTTGACACAAAATCAAGACTTAAAAAAGTAAGCTGTACTCTTTTGTTTTTTTTCTTTTTCTTTTTAATCCATATCTATACTCATCTCATTAGATAAACAAAAGAAATGTGTGCAAAGTCTCAAATTGAACTATTACAATAGGTCCTATACGCTCTATTCAGACATAGAGGCGAATCAATTTCCTAACACTAACACTGTGAACAATTATTACATAAGGCTAAGGAAAAAGAATTTACAAGTCACAAAATAGGATTATGTCAAAATAGCAAGGTGTATTAAGTTAATGTTAAATCGCTATAGTTATTGGAAAATTGACTGAAAATTTAATCAACAATGCAATAGAATTTTCCAGAGTATCATTTGTATAGTTATAGATTGCGCCTACCAATTGAGTAGAGATCAAAGCCGAGAAAGGATCTATTTTGGTCTAAAATCTAAAAATCTTTCCTATAGCCTACCATAGGAGAACATACTGCATGATTTCAACATGGTCCTCATTTAAGTGCCCCTATTTGTAGTTTGCAGCTAAGAAATGTAATGTTTGGTAGAAATTAGGCAAGCCTCTTGGCCTTCTTAGGTCATCATTTTTCAAGCTTAGCTGCACACCTACCAACCTTAATATAACGATCAATTGCTTCAGTCAAACGTTCTACGGTGACTAATGAAAACATACTACGTTTCGTTTTATCTGTCAAAAAACCTTGAATGAGCATCCTGAGGAGTCCGTTTCCTTTCGTTCTACCTCCGTTTCGGGCATTCATTCAAGGAATTCATAGTTAGTTTTATATATGAGAATAATTTTTTTATTTTTTTATTTTTGCATAAACCTTGAGCAGAAAAGAGAAAACAGTGACCACTAAATGAAAACCTTAAGCAAAACATTTTTCTTAAGTATATATATAAAAAAAAGATTTTGAAATCACTAAATAGTCGTAATCAAGTGATCAAATCCGTAGTCGGGTCTAGTGTTTTCCAATCGGGTTGAGACTTACAAGACGACTTTTGGTTATAGTATATGTTCATGTAGCCGATCCCATATAATGTGGATGTAATAATTGTCTTTTCCATAGCACAGTGCCATCAGGTAAAAAAGAATCAGCAAAAGAGACTTTCATCTTTATTTAGAAATTAATTGGCTAAGATCCAAGTAAAACAAAAATAAAAATAAAAAGGGCAAGTCCATCCAAAAGTTCTGGATGAAATAACAAGAATCTACCTTGGTAAATCATCCTTATTTTTGGCTACCCACGAAGATGATCTTGTCACGGATAAACTATGATATTTCAGAAAATGGGTACACTTTTAACTAAATGTTGTACATGCCAAAGGGTCTATTTTGTTTGTTAGAGAGGAAACTACCTTAAACTAATTGACATTTCCAAAGTACATTAATTTGGTTTCTTTAAGTTACACGCACAATGTTTGATGGTTACGTCTAGTTTTGTAGAATCGGATCCCGTACCGAATCGAAATTGTTGTTTTTAAAAGTTTGAAAGTGAAATTAATTATCGAACAGTACTGTTTCAAATTAATTTCATATACTATCATGTAAATGTAACATTCAACGAGATGAAAAATGGTGTGAATTTAAAGAATGATTGAAAATAAAAAGTAATATAAACGTTTGATTTAATTTTAATAATCGTTACATGAGTTTTTTCTCGGCAATCAAGTAAATATTTTCTTTCTTTAAAAAAAAAAATTACTGTAATCAGTCCAGTGAACCTAAATGTGAATAAAATTCACTTTACAAATCCTTTAATTTTACTTCCCGAAAACACAACGTCCTAACCTGTTTATTCAATTCTCTCTTCTTCTTTTTTGTCTTCTACAAGCATGAATAAGAAATAATTTAACCAACTGAATGCATTAAGCTTTTGGAATAAGTTTGCATTGCATCATTGATTTGGATTGTTTTGATGGTTTTAAAAAGGATAAAATACTAACGAGATACAAGGCCTTTATGATTTGTGATTAGGCCTGGTCATTTTGAACCACGGTTCGAGTCGAACCGATAATTCAAACCGAACCAATTCGAAACCGATCCGAAAATTTAGTTTTGGTTCAATTCGGTACGAATTAATTATTTGGTTCGGATAAGTTCGGGTTAAGTAAGTTTCTAAATTGAACCGAACTAATTTAAACCAAAAATAATAATAATAAATTTTATTAGTTTCCGACGTTGACTGCCACCGACCGCCGTTGACCGCCACCAATCGCCGTCAGCAACAACTTCCAGCCAAAAATTTCGGCGATGTTGCCGTCAAATTGATTTTTCCGTCCAAAAATTCCGGCGATATTGCCGGAAATTGATGATGACCGGCGCCGGCAAGATGACATTATCATAATGTTTTGATGACATTATCGGATACAAAATGGTTCTTTTCGAGTTAATTCGGTTCAGACTCGACATTTAACCCGAACCGATCCGAACCGAATCATAGTGATCCAAAAGAAAGTTGCCTTAATTTCGAATCGATCCAATATAATGGTTCGGTTCGGGTTCGGGTCGGGTCGGTTTTATGTAAAAGAACAGCCCTATTTGTGATAATAATGGTTATTTTTTTCCATTAACTTAGACGTTAACCTACCAATCAGTTCTAGACCATAAAAAATTTCCTCACAAAAATGTTTGTGATCTAGTTCTCTCCCAACCAGGTGCTCTTACCCGCAGCATGACAACTATGATCATTATTAGTAGCCTTTTTATCATTGTTGCAATTAATTATTTTATTATTATGGTTACATTTTGGACTCAACATTTTAAACAAATTATGTTACAAATTGTTGTTTTTTCACATTTGATTCACTTCTACTCAACAAAAAATAAGTAAATGACAGAGTGGACTTTGGTAGACTTCAATGCACACTAATCTCTATGGTCTAAAATGAATAAGAATTTATTATGAGTTGGCCTTGTAGCCTTACATTTTCGTTTCTGTCACCTGTAAAAAAGCCTGTGGGGGCCGTTGTAACCACCAACCATCAAAACAGCTTTGTAGTTGTTGTCGGTTGTGTTGGCCACCAATGTCTATTTCATCTTTGTGAATTACAATCTCTTCAACTAATTTAATAACTCTGACGTGCAAGTGATGGTAAAATCTTCATATATAAGCTTTACTTGGCAGCTTCTGATTTCTCAATTACTTTTTAAACCCATGGAAGCTTCATTGTTTCTTCAGTTCAAAAACCCCAGATTTCTTCCATGCGGATTGTCTATTAAAATGGTCACTGAGATTTTTGGATGAGATTCTGTAAATCTGAAGCTGAGCAGGACAAAACCCCAATTGATCTTTTCTTTCCATTTTAGCCCAAAATGTTGATATTTTTTATATCATTCTTCTCTTTCATCTTACTTTCGAAGTCATTTTTGAAGCCCTTTTCGACCTGGAGTTGGAAAAGGGGAATGAAAATGCATCTTTGTTATCCACGTGAATTAGCAAGAATCTGGGTTCCATGGTTCATAGGAAGTGTGAATAGTACAGTGATCAAGAAGAATTTTAGTCCAGAAGCTGCAGTAGAGAATGTGGTGGAAGAAAATTTTGAAGAGTTTTGTTTGTTAGATTTGCCAGATTTAGCATTGGATTGCATTCTGGAGAGGCTTTCTCCATCTGGGCTCTGTAGTATGGCCGGAGTTTGCCGTTCTTTAAGAGAGATTTGTACAAGTGATCGGTTGTGGGAAGAACACATGAAGCGGAAATGGGGTAATCTGATTGGTGATGCAGCATATCAACAATGGCAATCCTACATTGCGTCAAAACAGAGGAATGAACTCCCAGAGAAGAAGAACAGGGTAACTGGAATTTTCGGGTACTTGTCAAGTTTTTGGTCTCAATTGTTAAATAGATCAAAAGAAAATGAAGTCTCTAAGGAAACCAGAAGTTCATCATTACCAGTAAATTCAATTATGGCTTGGTACCTCGCAATCGAAAACGGGAAGTTCTGGTTCCCTGCTCAGGTTTACAATCGTGAGGTAATTGACTGAACTCTGTAATTTCTGTTTATCTTTTGGATTCAATTAGCTCGATTCACCCCAACGTTATCCGCATATGCCTCAATCAATCATGTGTTTTCATTCTTTTCATCAATTTTCATTCATGATTATGCATAATGCGGAATTAGCTTTGTGCAGAATGGTCATGTTGGTTTTATCCTTTCTTGTTATGATGCGGAACTGAATTACGATTCAAGTACAAACACCTTTGCAGCCAGGTAAAACGATTTCTCCCAATCATATTGAGAAGTTGATTTTAGGATTATACCAAGTTCAACTGATTCTTGAACCGCTCATAGATCAATTGTCACAAGGCCTATATATGTTGGTTGTTTCTTCAGGTACTCTGTACTTGGCCGACGGACGATAGAGGACAACATAGAATGGCATAGGATTCGAGCACCTGCAGTCGATACGCCTTCGAACGTGCTTCACATCTCTGATTGTCTTAATGATCTCAAACCTGGTGATCACATTGAAGTTCAGTGGAGAAGAAACAAAGACTTTTCCTACGGTATGTATTTTGTTGGCCTTCTTTTAAGACCTTCTCTGTAGTTTGGCTCTCAATTTTTTTCTTATACTGCAATATTCCAGAGTTCAATCAAGTTGTTTTTCATTGTATTTCAGGTTGGTGGTATGGAGTTGTTGGGCATTTTGAGCAGTGCGATGGAAACGAATCCATTTGCCAATGCCATCTAAATGGTAAGAGTATCAAACTTGAAACTTGGGCATTTGTTATTCCAATGTCTAGCTATATTCCCCTTCTTCCTTCCTATATAAGGTCATTATAGGCTTACATTTTCGTGCAACTCATTTGGTTGATAGATACCATTGTATTGGAGTTCAAACAATACCACCCTGGCTCGCGATGGAGACGAACAACTGTAAACCGGAAGGATCACCGGGAAGTAGGCAATGGCGCCGACGGCTTCTATGGAGGAATCAGAAAGATCTGCAAGGAAGAGGAGATTTCAGTGTGGAAGGGACTATGGCCAACTAGCACTATACAATAATAGTAAAGCAAGTGGATTTGGCGTTCACTTAGGAAATAGACTGTAAAAACGTACACGGAAGCCAATCAAAGCCATCATCAGGAGTTTGTAATCGTTGACAGGGCTTTCGATTTTTGCGTAGCTTGAGTTGAGGCTAACTATAGGATTTTTGGTGTTTAGAGTAAATTCTTGGTGATAAAATAATGATGCAAACTGCAATCAGTTATCTTTCATAAAATTTCGTATAACACATTCTCTTTTTTGATAAAATTGGTTATCGAAATAAACAAGCACTAGAAAGAACTAAACATACGAGAACTAAAACTTCGGGGATGCTAAACCTGTAACATGAAAAGGAATCCTACACTCATATAATTTTGTTATCTTTTTATATACTCACTACAAATGATATTTAATTAAAAAATAAGGAAGAAAAAGGGTTAAAACAAAAGTTTGATCAGAGAATTTACTAAATAGAATGTTTGTAAACATTGGGGTAGGACTTTTAAAAGATTACATTTTTCCACTCCTTGAAGTCTAAACTCATTCTCAAGTATTTACTCTGAAAGTTACCTTGAGGGACATTGAGGGCGGAGTGCATAATTGATTTTATAGTCTCAGGAGCATTGGTGCTGAGTAGTATCGAGGACTTGAGAAAATTGATGTGTTGTCCTGAAAAGGCTGCATATTCTTAGATCAGGCCTGATAAAGTTAGAATTGAGTCTTCCCCTACATTCAATGAAGAAAAAGTTGTCATCGTCATACATTAAATGACTAACCCTTAGTGCATTCCTACTGATTTTAATCCCAAGGCTTGGAAAAAATTGAATTCCAGATCTGATAGCTGATGAAAGTACTCGTTGACTGAGTATAAAAAGGTAGGGCGAGAGAGGGCAGCCCTGTCACAGACCTTTGTTGGGGGAGAAAGAAGCCACTCCTTCACCATTAAATTATATTGAATATGTCACAGTTGTAACACAATGCATCATCATAGTGATCAAATGGGTAGGGAACTTGGCTTTGGTAAGAACATCTTGTAGGAAGGGCCAAGAGACTCGATCATATGCCTTGCTCATATCCAATTTGATCGCGGGCAAACCTGTATCTCCATTCCTTTTCTGGATGAATTTTATGACCTCATGAGCTATAAGGATATTCACTAATATTTCTTCCAGGGACAAATCCATTTTGGTACTCATCAATTAAATCATTCATCACATGCTTCAGCCGATTAGTAATTATTTTAGTAATTATTTTATATTTCACATTACATCGTCATACATTAAATGGAACCAGACAAATCTTGTTTTGTCCAAGTGTACCAACTGCCATGATGCTTTAGTTTCTCCAAGTCATTTTGACAAAGGAATTGTTGAATAGGTCTGGTGTCTTGATCACAGACTTGTCAACCCCCAAACTTATCTTCTTGATTGACTACCTGATTAGAATTTCCTAACACAAGGACACTTGAAGCATCTTATGGTGTCATTAAATTGCTACCCATTCTAAGAAGGAAGGCCATACAGAAAAGTTGCTACCCATTCTAAGCCAGTATGCTCATAAACTTTGGCTACTATTACATTTGAATTCTGAAGGAGCACACTGACCTGGACACCATCTAACCAAAACAAGCCTAAACCACCACTATGACCTATCGGATCTATTACAATAGATTTTTTAATAACAGAACATTACTGCCAAACATCTACATACTGCTTACTACCCTTAGTCTCCATAAGAAATAAAATACTAGGCTTATACTATCTAACTAATCTATTTAATATAGTTTTAGATGAGACATTATTCATTCCTCTACAGTTCCAAGACAATATATTCATATGAACAAAGGCGGTTGATCTGGTTCTTCCACCGCAAAATCTTTTTCTGAATCTTTTTCTGATTCTATTCCATTGCCAATAAAGGACACAGTCAAGTGAGTCACAAAAGTCATTACCTGAGGGATTTGCATTGCATCACTACCTTTAATGAGCCTTCTGCATTTCCTTGAAGTCATTGTTGCCTCCAGAAAAGCTAAGCATCTTTTCCTTGCACCATTCCAGGTTGAGCTATTATTAGTACTAGAATCGCTACTCTGTTTCTCTGTCGAAGACGACGATGCCATAGATTCTTAGTGAGCATTCCAAGTGTGATCGAATTTCGAACATTTTGTTTATGTACCTGCAGTGCGTCCACTCCTACTTCTTTGGCTAAACCAGCAGTCCTACCCAACCTATTTTTATTCCCCGCTTTAGCTCGATGTAGCTTGCTTCGCTTTTCTTTCATGTTTAGTGATGAAAGCGAGGTGAACAGAGGTGGCATTCGTGATTTGATTTCACCTTCCACTGGTTCAATCATGGTAGATTCCATTAGATTTGTCTGGCCATTATGGATCAAATCCCGTGATCCCATTGACACCAATCCAGAAACATTTTTACCTACAACAGTATCAACCTCAACAACAGTATCCACAACAATAGTATCCACCGTATCAGAAATAGGTATTTTCCTCCATCGCCTTTGCTCTTTTAAAGTATTAATAGAATTATCATGCAAAGGTGGAGAATTAACATGCCTCTTTTTCTGACGGTTACGTTTCTTTGGGAAGCCGGAATATGGAATCACCATATGTTGGGATGTTTCTAAGCTCATGGTTACAATAATTGTAGAAACCCCATTACTCATGGATGTGTTAACAATTTTTTTGGCGGCCACTCAGATGACATTTGAGCTGCTCCCCTGTAGCTACAGCTTTTGGAATGGCGGATACCCAGAGCTTTGATATGCAGCGAGGAATTATGCTGTCAAAGGCACTTAGCAAGAGAGATGTATGTAATAACCTTACCATGAGAAGAAACCTTTAGTTCAGCCATAAACTTGCAAGTATGGATTCCTCAAAATCACATCGAAACAAACAAGAGTGGTTGCAGTCGTCAAGAACTTCTGGAGTTTCTGATGGATCACTGACACCACTAAATAACCGAGAGGAAGCACAAGCTCATTGGAGTGCAGAGCAGTTGAATTTCAAAGCCGATGAGATAGCGGCGTTGGAGGAAGAGGGGATGCTGGAGGAGGTGGAGGAGGAGTGACGGTGGCGTAGATGAGCTGTACTCAACAAATTGGATAGTGGATTTCATTGGGATGAGGGGATCCCAATTTCCTGAAAACGCTGAACCTTTATCGGATTAAAAGAGGGCTTCGAATTCCCGGTCTTCATGGATTAGAGATCAGAGTAGAAGCTGAAATTAGAAGAAGGAAAAGCATGTGTGTAATCTGCGGATGCGCAGTTAATTGTTTCCTATGCCTGATTGTTCCTGGGCAACAACAAATTTGGAGGTTGCAGAACGAGGATCGAAGAATTTGGAAGTTTGGGGGAATTTTGGGAGCGCGTGGGAAGCACGTCGGAATCTGATTCTAAATCATGTTTGATATCAACTACGGGAGGAAATGTAAAGGATATTACAAGAGCTATAGAAAATTGGACTAGGCTGGTTTCCCATAAGGTAATTTGGAATTACTAAATTTCCAAAACATAATTTGTTGTACTAAATTGTTTCCAACCATTCCATTCGAAATTTGATTGAGACTCATTGGTTAAGACCATTCTAGTTTTTTGAAGTAGTCAAAGATAGGGCTGTGCATTTTGATCCGCGGTTCGGATCGACCCGATAATTCGAACCGATCTAAATCGAAATCGATCCGAAATATCAACTTCGGATCGGTTCGGTTCGATTCGAAATTCAGTTATATGGGTATGGTTTGGAAGGGTTCGGATCAATACTTAAAACCAAATTGAACCAAAATTCTATTTTTTGGTTTTTACCTCCTAAATAATCAACCTTTCATTCCCGGTCTAACTCTTTATTCCCACACTCACTCCGGCGACTGCCACTCCGGCGACTCGTCGATGCCGATCAAACCGTCGAACCATTAAAGACCTATTAACGATCATTATTCTTAAACCCATCAAACGTTTCTTTGATACGACTTCAATCGCCGATCAAAATCAAAATCCATGATAGTGCGAGTGAAGGCCAAGATCCAGTTTTCCATCCAACCCATCTGAGCACCATTATCTCCTTCGCTGACTGTCGACGGATTCTGGTTATCGACCTTGCTTCGGAATCAAACTGAGGGCAAGAAGACCATTTGCTCACAGAATCAGACTGATAGCAATCTTGTAGATGAAGCAAATTTCGGTAATGCAACCATCAAACAAGAAAGTACGAAGATAAGTTGTCTATCCCGTGAAACTCAAAAGAGTGCGAAAAATTCACAGTAAGACTATCGTTTATCTAAGGATTTCTATCTCTTAACTCAAACCAAGCAAAGAACACATTATCCATGAAAGATTCGAATTAAACAACAACCCACACTAAGAATAGTAAGGATACCGTTCAATATACTCGACCAGTCATCATTCAAGAGACTTAAGAAAGGTAGGAGCAAACAATGCTCAACAAAGAAGGAATACTATTGATTAGTAATCTCCATAACCAACAAAGATATGCAACGCATACACTATCTCAAAATGCTTATGCCAAAGCACAACTCATCCAATAAAAGTCGGACAAACCCCACCAAGGAACTCATGAACACATACATCATGAATTCGAAAACCATAACCAAAAGAAAGGCTCAACTCTCGAACTACTAGAAGTAGTATGAAAATAAGAAGTTCAGTTTTAAAACAATTCTATCAAGAAGCATACTTGAAAAAGAACGGTTTCTGCAAGATCAAAAGATCCAAGACAAGATGAAAACCCTCTTGGTTAAATCATACTTGACACGAATAATAGACACACTATTTAACAAAAATTCCTCACAGGAAAAACTCTCATTAGAGAAGACTCAAAATGACCACACATGGGTGCTTTAACTTTCGGCCATACCCCCCCTATTTATAGGCTAGCACTTTCGGCCAAAACACCAAAAGAAGACCAACTAGGACTCTCTATTATTATCTCACGCAGGAGTACAAGTAGAAGAGTGTTTGATCTCTTTGACTCTATCTAAAATCTAGGAAACCTTATCTAAATGACTTATCCTCAAATAGGATAATACTTAGAAGGAATCTAAATACTCTAGTTTAATTCAGTCCACGTGACTTATTTAACTAGATAAAATTCGAAAATCAAAACTCCTAGACTAGATAATACTCTAAATCTTGAAAATCAGCTCCAAATATTGAAGTAAAATGTCTTGAACGCTTTCCAAAAGTGAAATATTGGTCTTGCACCCCTCAAGTTGTAGATAAATCCAATTTACTCCAAAACTTGTAGAATTCTCTTTATTGACTCCAAAAAATGGAAAAACACTTGAAACAATTGAGATAGTTTGCAACCTATCCAACTGTGTAGCAATGGACTAACCTTGAACACTTTGATCAAATAGGCCGTCCATTCAAGAACCTAAATGATTCTTCTCTCTAGCTTGATCAATAATCTTCATGGAGCACCTAGAGTCAAACTCCCTTGATACTCTTGAGTATTTATTTCCATGAATGAATCATCTCCTTTGGTTTGAACCCCAAAGTTAATGACATTCTCATCATCTTGATCATAGCTCTCTTGAACCAACTCCCTATCACATAGGTAGTCAAGATCCATCCTTTCTTCCTTGATTGGCCTACAAAGTAAACTTGGCATTCCAAAACTAGAATAAAGGACTAGCACATTCCCCTCACTAGGAAAATCACCATGGAAGGCTACATGATTCTCATCATCCCCTCCTTCTTTAAGAGGATTCGTCCTTGAATCATTAACCTCTAAACCTACACAAGGAACAAACGAGATATACTGGTTAGTAAAATCCTCACCCTCACCACACTCTGATTTTCTCTCATTGCGTGCATCTTTTTCTATTTCCACACTATTTTCATGGTTCTCTCTCACCTCAAGTCTTACCTCAGTGTGACCCTTTTTACATTCTTGCGTCACTCTCTCAACTTTTTCTCTCCCTTGTGTATAGGTTATCTTACATCTTTTCTCTCGCACAGACTCAGCTTCTTCATAAGCCAAAGGCTTAAGAATATATTTTCTGTCCTTTTTAGTAAAGACAAAGATATTTTTCGAGCAATGGTGCACAGCATCTACATCTGATTGCCAAGGCCTACCTAGCAAAATATCACAAAGAGACATAGAAATTACATCAAAGTAAATTTCATCCCTATACTCACCAACTTGAAAAGATACCATAGCCTTCTTAGTGACATCCACAACCATCTCTTCACTCAATCATTGAAGCTTGTATGGTCTAGTATGCGGATCCATCTTCATTCGTTCGCTATGCAAAATTCCTCACTTATACAAACAGTACTTAATCCACCATCGATTACTAAGTCAACTTCATTGGACCACCTAACCGAACACTTGGTACGGAAGATACAAGTCCATTGATCACCATCTTTAGCGCCAAACACCAACCCTTGATCCTCAATTGGACCATTCCAACCACAAGAAGTATCATGCCCTCTCTCCACTTCTAAGGCAGCGTAATATGCCTCATAGAGCCTTGATTGCCTCCTTATCTTTGGGTCTAGCTTGTTTAACAACACCCTTTATTGCCGTTTGACAACAACCAACAATTTCAGAACTCATTGTTAATCAACAAAGTTGAAAAAACACCAAAAAAAAGTAAGTGTGCCTTTGTTACTATACAAAAACTCCTTGAACCCTTGAACCAATAGATGACTCGGCCGAAACCCCCCAAGAACCAAAGGAAGGTTCGAATAATGCTCTCCCCAAAAGCAAAAACTCTCTTGTGCTTTTAAGAACACTAACTCTCAAAAATCAATAATAAAGAGAAGAGTGCTTCTCTTATATTGTACCCTTGTGATCTCGGTAGCAAGAACAAGAAGAAGAATGGAGTAAAGTGGTGTGAGAATTTTTGAAAAACAGCACCCTATTTATAGGCAATGCAAGTCTTTTTGTGCAAGAAAACTCCTACAAGATAGGACCTAAATTTTCTCAAAAATATTCCCCCCTTAATTGATAAAATTTCAGTCGACAAGATGGAATAAAAAGGAAGAAATTTGGTCAACATATATATATATATATATATAAGGATAGAGTCCTAAAACTTAGGTAATCATAATCTCTTTTGGACACAACTTATGAACTATGTCACAAAACAGTGAAAGATTCATCCCTACTAATTAGAGACAAAAAATCCGACCCCCTACTACAAATAGGACTCAAAAACTCGGCCAAACACAAGCACAATTGTATTAAAAGACTCAAAAATTTTCAGATTAAGATAAGACTTCCTTATCTCAATAGTTTTCAAAAATAGACTCACTTTAAAACTCTAATTATAATCTCACTGAAATTATAATTTGACTCATGCCAAAATTAGTATTTAAATCCAAGTAGGACTAAAATAAAACACACAATAAAATTGTATTACCATTAGGAAACAAAGGCTGAAAATTTCGGCCAATGTGAACACTAAAATCGAAGACCGAATAGGTCTCAAATCATAACACAATTTGGACTCAATGACCTTAATTTTAGGGATAAAATTTTCGGCCATGTGAACAAACAAATACAAGACCGAATAGGTCTCAAAGTGTAACACAAATAGACAACCAAAATTCAAGTTCAACTAGGACTAGGAAACCCTAAGTTTTAGCTCAAAAATTTGGCTATACTATGAATCTAAAATTCAAAACTAACTAGGCTTAGAACTCCACATAAAAAACACGCACACTCATGCATTAATTCAGCAAAAATTTGACATTTAAATTTTACCGCATAGTTAAAATTTAAAAAATTACTTTTGACTCACTTTAAAAAGTGATGTCGAAGACTGATTTTACCATAGACACTGGCACTCAAACTGCTCAAAGTGGGGATTTGAATATGTCTGAAACTTCAAGGGAGACTCAAGATACTCAAAGCACCAGTAAGACTCGTAACTTTAGATATGATGTTTGGCCATACTTTGAACTTGATCCAAAATGCTTTCAATTGGATCAGAGGGGAAAATGTGTGTATTGTGAAACTTGGATATCTTTTCCTAGTGTGAATGGTACTAGTTCATTACGTAATCATCTCAAACGGTGTCCCACATGTCATTTGTATGAACCTAAGAAAAGATTAAAAGTTGTAGAACCTAAGTCCCCTGCTCATGTGTTTGATCAAGTTAGGGCTTACGAGGCATTGATTGTGATAATATTTGTGGATGAGCTGCCTTTTAGCCATGTTGAAAAAGAGGGATTTATTGGTTTTTGCAAGACTTACTACCTAATTTCATAATTCGTAAACGGAAAGCTATAACTCGTGATTGTTATGATTTTTTTTTGGCTGAGAAGAAGAAACTAAAACAATATTTTGGTACATTGAGTTCATGTGTGTGTCTTTTACTACAGATTTGTGGACATCGAATCAAAACATTGATTATTTGTGCCTCACTGCTCATTTTATTGATGATGCTTGGACTTTGCATAAAAGGGTTATTAATTTTTGTCCAATTGCTGATCATACGGGTGATTTGTTGGGTAAAACCATTTAGAGGTGTTTGATAGAGTGGGGGATTAAGAGGGTTCTTACTGTGACTGTTGATAATGCTTCCTCAAATGATAAATGTGTTAAATTTTTGAGATATAGTTTGAAGAATTGGAGAGGAATTGTTTTGAATTGTGATCATTTGCATATGAGGTGTGCCACTCATGTTTTGAACTTGATTGTGAAGGAAGGGTTTAAAAATTACAATGATCATATCTCTCGGATAAGGGCTGCTGTTAAGTATGTGAAATCCTCTTCTGCTAGGACTAGACAGTTTAAATGTATCCAAGAGTTACAAGGTTTTGACACCAAATCTGGTCCTAGTTTGGATGTGGAAACTAGGTGGAATGCCACATATATAATGTTGAAATCAGCTTTGAAATTTAGGTTTGCTTTTGATGCTTTAGCTTTAGATGACCGTTATAAGTCTGATATGGATAACAACATGCCACTTGATTTTGACTGGGAGTATGCTGAAAACTTGCTCCCTTTTCTGAAAGTTTTTTATGACACTACTGTCCGCTTGTCTGGGTCAAGTTATGTGACTGGGAATGAGTAAATACTTCAAATCTCTGGAGTTAGGCTTGTTTTGGATGCAATGGAGAATATGGATTCGATTGATTTGAAAATAATGGCTTCAAGTATGAAGCGCAAATTTGACAAGTACTGGACTGATTTGATAAGATGGACATGTACATCTTTATTGCTTGTATTCTTGATCCCCGTTACAAAAAAAAGTCATGTTGAGTGGGTGATTTAAAAGACCTATGGGTCAAAAGCAGAAGAGTTGAAAGATGATGTGACTGCTACTTTGTGCAAAATGTATGAGTTCTATATTCCAGCAGTGTCATCTAGCAGGAGTATGCATGGTAGTGTTGGGTTAGATGTTGTTGATGTTAATTCTGATAGTATTATTGGTGCCACTGCATTCCTGAACTCTTTGTATGCTAAGGAGCAAAACAAGAAAAGCAATCTTGCTGATAACACTGAATTGGACAGGTATTTGGTTGATTTGAAAGTAGACCCAAATGATATCTTTTGATATATTGAAGTGGTGGAAGTCATATTGAAGTGGTGGAAGTCAAATGCTGTTAGATATCCCATACTAGCCCTTAAGGCTAGAGATGTGCTCGCCATTCCTGTGACTACTGTGGCTTCAGAGTCTGCATTCAGTACTAGTGGTAGAATTATTGATTTATTTCGAAGCTCATTGTCTCCAAGGATGGTAGAAGCTAGTGTTTGTGCGCAAGATTGGCTGAGAAACAATCGCGAACCTGTTTTTGTGGAGGACTACTTGGATGAGCTTGAGGAAATTGAAGTAGGTAATACATGCTTGGTTTTGAAAATAATGTCACTGTTACATATATCTCTAATTATATAGTAATGCTTACTTTTGTTTTGAATTTGATTTTGTGACAGGGAAAGCACGATTGAATGAAGTACACCCCATCATTGATGTTGAGTAGGTTGCTCAATGGGTTCAGATATCTGTTACTACAGGAGGAAGTGGAGGAAGTAATGAATAATGATTATGATGTAATGCATATACATTGTCTTTGTGTTATATCATACGAGCCAATTTTCATTTGTTTACACTTAACATTTTCATTGATACTTTACTATTTCATGGCGTCTAGCTAATTCATAGAGATATACCAACTAGAATCTATTCGACCACACAAATTTGGCGTAGGCTACAAAATGCAGCGAGCACACATATGGTATTCTTAAGTAAAGGGGGGATTTTTTGTAATAGCTGTGATGAGGAGCTATGTACAATTGTTTGATAACGAAATTATGAATCCTAATAATGCCGTCAAATACAAAATACAATAACTATTAACCTTCCAATTTGAAAGTCGAATCAAAGATCAAATTGTATTCAGCTAGACTATGAAGTACACAAATCTTAGTTTTGAAAATTAAGTATTGGCTCGTCCCATTATTTAGTTTAATTGAGTGATTTTTAGGATAAGATGTAAGTCTTGACATTTTCATACATGTATTTAAATTGTGTGTTTTTAAAGTTATAAGAAAATGTCCTTTTCGGGGTTAAAAAAAAATAAAAATAAAGGGGGTAAAATAATCAGAATAAATTAGGAAGGAAACAGTAATCAGAATAATCAGAAAAAGTTTTTTTTTTTTTTTGAAATGAATCAGAAACAAAATTTAAAAAAAAAAAAACAAACGGTTCAAAACGGTTCGATTCGGGGTTAATCCAAAAAAACTCGAAACCGAACCGAACCGAACCGAAACTATCCAGGTCATTAGGGGCGCGACCCGTTCCGAACCGAACAAAACGGTTCGGTTCGGTTTCAGGTCGGGTCAGGTCGGGTCAGTTTTCCTCTAAAGCACCGCCCTAGTCAAAGATCTCAGTGCTAGATTTCACGATGTAAAGTTACTATCACAGGTGCTCTACTAATGTTAGTTTTGTTGGTAGATCAGGAAATACAAATAGGCTCACCAGTCATGTTAGATATAACTAGTTTTATTTTTAATTGACACTCATGTTGCTTAGAAATGTGCTCGGGATGATGATGACCCAGATATTAAAACCTCTAGCCCAATAGTGAAGCTAGTTTTGGGCACTGAAAGCACTCCCTCTATCCCAAGAAAATAGTCCATATTGAGCTTTCAAATTTGTATTAAAACCAGTCGAAATTTTAAAATTCAATGTGAAATATTTTTTTTTTCGAACAAAGGTAGCATTATTCTGTTGTCTCATCATCGAGTTCATAATTATTATCTTAACTCTAAATAAGGGTGGAATACGTTGTTTCACCCGACATTTGCGTGTTAAGTTATTTTTCAACTCGTTATGCAATTGTGCTACTCACACCACAACTAAAAGGAGCAAATTTTAAAATACATTGTATTGATACATTATTTTTCAGTGATATTTAATTAATCTCTCATAGGAGCAAGGTTACATACATCTTGACCGTTCATACCCTAACGAATTAGAAATATACTGAGTTTATATTTATTCATAATATATATATATATATTTATTCATAATATATATAATATATATATTATATATATATAATATATATATATGGCCCTAAAACACTATAGGAGAGATGAAAGACGGGCCTTATTCAACAATAAAACACTAAGAATTTAGAAACAAGTTTTTAGAATTAATAATGAAAAAAGATGAAATCGACTTGAATAACTTCTTTTGCGGCATCTCTTGCAAGAGTCTGAAAAGTGCCGATACCCTGTGCGAGCCGGAGATCATTGGTACCTCCCACTAGTGGAAACTCCCTATATTGCTTATCGAATGGACTCCACCCCACCAATTGAATGGTACTTCCGCGGTACTTACCACTTGTGAAGATAAAAGTTAAGGTGGTCGAAAAATCCAGCTCCTCCCGTGAGGTGAATGTAAATAGTCCTTGACCACGACCAATCGCCTTCGAGTTGACATCCTGTGTGACTGTTAACAAGCTATCCAGAACTCGTACTTCACCAAATCTCGTGGGTGACGTAGCCGAAATGTTGGCCTGAGCAACTTGCACCACGGTGGTTTTGTTCCCTGTGAAATTGTTATGAAGATAAAAATGTAGTTTTGACAACTTTGGTTGTGTATTATGGCGAGCAACTCTTTCGAACCATTTCGCCACTGCTTTGGGGCTTTGATCATCAGGAACTCCACCACTTAATGGTGCAATGGCCATGATTACAGTTGCCAGAAGCATTAAAATTATCACTCTTGCCATAGGTTCTTTTTTTATCAACAATGAAAATATAAGAATGATGTGAAGATGTTTTCCGTAACATTGAGACTTGTCGGGTTTATATACAGACTCGCACACACGCGTGCGCATTCAATCTTATGTGTTTGCGTCATGTATATTACGTAAAAGAAAAGCCAATTTTTTGTCTGCAATTCAATGTACATTCCGCAGCCCTAAATTTTGTCCACTCTTTGAGTTTTCTACACCTTTTAACATGAAAAATCTTCATACTAGCTAGATTAAATTATTTCTACAAGAAGTTCCATGTTTGGGGGTGATAAGTCAAGCGCCAATTGATGCTAACTTTGTGTTTTTCTAATTTTAATTAATCCGATCATGTATAACCCCACCCTCCAACACATGTAGATTGTGCCACATTAATTATGAGTTGATTTAACAAGAGATGCAAATTGCCTGGAGAATCCGTTGGATCACTACAATTTTTTGAGAAAGAAAGAAATAGTCAACAAGCCATAATAAAGCTTAGAAGAAAAGAATGAACTTGTCAACTAATAAACTTGGATAACATCAGCAAGGGAAATGAGGCAAATCAATCGTCTTTTCCTGCTTTACAATTGCATTCTTCACCAAATAGTTCATTCAGAACAATCAGGTGTGAAGAGGAGACAAAGAAACTGACAGTCGAAACGAACTCAAACCTCTTTCGGCGACCTTTAATGCATTTATTTTAAATGAAAAATTTGTTATACTACACTTACCTAAGATAAACTCATAACTTGGAGTGATATATTCAAATACTATTTTATAAGATCATAATATTTCGTTTTACTCATGTAAAGTGGCACACTATGTTTTCTCTGCATCTCTGTCAGGGTTCCATAACTTTTAGGAAAAAAAGGCGCAGTTTATGCGTCATTAATTTGAAGTTGTTGGAGGATTTCTTTTTCAATATTTCTATGCTTTTAACTCTTTAATTTCTATTTTTATTTTTATTCTTTATTTTTTGGAAAACATTTTTTTAACTCTATTTCTTTCCTTTTTGTTGTTTTAATATAAGAAAGACCCTATTTTTTTTTTTGGGGGGTAATGTTGAGAACCCCACCAGAGATGGGTAAATTCACGCTCACTGTAATAGTTTGCAAACCATAATGAGGGTAAATTACCCTAAGCCTCGAGTATCAAGTTTAGGTGCGAAATTGAGAGTTCACGTATGGGTTTGTCATTACAAGCCTTCTAAAACTGCCGAGGGGTAAGGGTAGGGCCACCCCTCAATCTTATTAGAGTGGGAGATTGAATTCATGACGACCTCTTGAGAGTAAAGATAGTTTTACCACTAAACCAATACTTTCACTCTCATTTCTTTTCTTTTTGCTCTTTAGTTTCTTTTCTTTTTTTTTCTTTTTCTTTGTTCATAATGATGAAGCTACAATTATAATTTTTAAATCGTTGCCAAAATTTGTTCCATTATAATTTTTATTTATGAGCATAAATAAATTTTAGTTTCTTTTTTGAATGCTAATCTTATTTTTAAAATCTTTTATTTTCTACTTTTGTTTGCCTTTTCTCTATTCTTTAAAAGTAAACAATTTTTTTTCCATTTCGTAAGAGCCCTATTTTGTTTAGCAATTCAAATACATTACTATTTTTCATATTTAATGTTAAATATAATTTTTTTAGGCGGGGTGGGGGGTTTAACCAGGGCGGAACCTGGCGGGCATGGCCCCTGATATCACAGATTACCAAAAAGAGGACAGTGCATAAGGCTTACCTATATATTACACTCATATAAACCAATCTAGTTCGAAATAAGGAAAGGATCTTTGATCAAGGATCAACAATCCTTTTATTACAAATGAAAGATTCATAAAAGAATGATAAAGAATCGAGTTTCCTAGAGATGCCTCTTTTGTCAAGCTATTCGCCACTGCACTAGTTTCTCTAAAGATATGCACTATTTTGTAATTTCTTGGCAGCACTAATATTGTCACGATCTCCTGTAAAGGAAAAATATATTTCCACAGGTTAATGGCTTTTCTGTTTAGAAGGTTGCAACTACCTCATTATCAGTCTGGACCAAGACGTTCATAACTCGAGTTGATCACATTTCCTTAATCCAGACAAAAGACCATATATCTCCGCGTTCAGACTATCACCTCTTCCTAAGTATCATGTTTCCCCATAAACAAATCTACCACCTCCTCCCCGGATAATGAACCCATATCCTATATTATTGTTGACCGTTGAGCCATCTGAATTTAAAATGAATGAATTTGGCTTTGGAGAAGACCAGCTAATGGCACTACATTTCCTTCTCTTGAGGTTGATATTTAGGACCTGAAAACGCCGTTCCAAAAATGCCGACTCAACTATTGAGCTAACCTGCATGGAATGTACTTTTAGGACATTCATAATGCTAGCTGTAATAGCTCCAAAAAAAAATTCAATTTTAGAATTTTTTTTGTATTTGAAAGAGAGCAATGAAAAGAGTAGTAATGCATACACGAAAAGAAATTTACATTAAAAATAATAGAAAATGTATATATAAAATCTAAACTATTCTTGTAACATTAATAAATATAGAGCAATGATGGAGACAGTGAAAAAAAGAATTGTGAAACTCGTAGTGATTTATGTGTATTTAATAATTTGGGACAAAAGTGTAATTTTGAGAAACCATAAAATTTTAACGGGAAAGTATCAACAAAATAGAGGAGGTCATAATAATCCACATCAGTCACTATTTTTTTTTACTATGCATGTCATTTTCCATTAATGCATAAACCGTAAATAGAAAATATAAAAATAAATGGATGTGATTTAATCCATAACATTTATTCCCAATTTCTTAAAAGTTATTAGTAGGTGCATCTTGCGTTGCCCGGATTGTGAAAAGCTTCCAGAATAATTAGTGTGAAATGTAGATTGTCGAAAAATATAGGAGTTAATCGCGTGGAAACAATATGCTAAAATGCATTTTGGTTATTATAAATGTCATAGAAGTTAGGTAAATCGTCCCAAAAGTAACGAATTACTAAATGCTAAGTTGTCTAGCATTTGATAGGCGTGCGTGTAGATTATCTGTTACACCCGGGGGCACCGTGTACCCCCTGCGCGTGTACTTTACTCTCTTAGAATAGCGTGAGCTCGCTAGATAATTCAGCTTTCTTTTTCTTTTTTTTTCAAATGTGGCATATATAAATTACCGAATTCATTCAAATTTTGAAAACTTACTGTGCCAGTATTGACACTGTGGATAACCATTGTGCACACTATGGATAACTAGTTAAACATAGTTGGATAACCAGTATGCACACTATGGATAACTAGTTAAACATAGCTAGATAACTAGCTACACACTATGGACAACGAGTGTTCACAATGTGGATAACCAGTGTTGGCAACATGGATAATTAGTTATACACAATTGGATAACCAGTATTGACAGTATGGATAATTAGTTATACACAATTGAACGTACCTTATTTCCATCATTTGGCAAACTGCCCCTCATTCATTTTTTGTTCTCCATCATTTGGTAAACTTTCCCTCATTCAATTAAATACTATTTATGAAATTTGTCGTGTTCGGCAGGGGGGGCGGCGCAGCCGGGTCGTTTAGTTTATCACGGGGGGATTTATACAGTAATTTGTGTCCCCTCTTAACGCAATAACACACTCTCCTTACACACACACAAAAAAAGGATTACCTTAGCTAAATTGGCGTGTTCGGCGGGGTGGCGCAGCAGGGGCAGGTTGGTGACCTGCGATTCCGGTAGCCGCGGGAGTCGTTTAGTTTATCATGGGGGGCGAAGCCCCCCAATTAACATGTCATTTGCTTCTTTACCTCTGTATAACCAGTTTACAGCTTGTGGATAACCAGTTTACACCTTCTGGATAATCAATTTATGCCTTGTGGATAACCAATTTACAACTTGTGTATAACCAGTTTACACCTTCTGGATAACCAGTTTACCCCTTCTGGATAACCAGTTTACAACTTGTGGATAAATTATGGATAACCAGCAATTGTGTGTGTTTGTGCGTGAGGATGAAAACAGTAAACTGGATGAAAACAATTTTGTTTGTGCATTTAATGTAAAGGTGAAAAATGTTGAGCGCGTGTAGTGCGTGTATTTGGTAGGGGTATACGGTATACCCGGATACACTGGATACAGACTCATTTTTAAGACTTCCGTTGGATTTTTCCAAAAGCAAAGCAAAGGAAATATTTGCAAATATCCCAAACCAAAAACACCTTTTTTTTTTTCCAAAACCAGGAATTGACCTGGCAGGGGTTGAGCCTGTTTTATTAATAATGTTAAAGTGGGATTTTTACAAAAAATGGCAGTGCATAAAAACTAGTGATCTATTTAATTCTGAGATATGGAAATTCCTGTTGATCTAAGGCTAGAAGACCTTTTGAAAATTGAGGAAGATCCCTAAAATTGAGAAATCGTTGTGATGTTCCTGCGAAGGCCATAATTACGAGATAGTCAGCCACCGAATTGGCTTCATAATAGACATGAGTGATGGAGTATTGCAAACTATGAGTTAGGAATTGAATGTCTCGAATGTCTGACTTGAACCGCCAAGGAGGCTTACTGTAGGATTGAATGAGTGTAGCAAGTGAGAGGTTATCTGTCTGAACTTCAACATTGTTGAAATTCAAAATCAAGCATCGTCTTAATCCAAAGAGAAGACCACTAACTTCAGCTAGGGTGCTATCTCCTTGTCCAAAAAACCGACTTCACCATAAATAAGAGAGCCGAGATGATCTCGTATTACAAAGCCATAGCCTGATGCTTGTCTTTCAATGAGAGTAGAGCCATCTGTATTTAGGACAAAATGATTCTGTTGAAGTTTTTTCCACTTTACCACTTTAATGATTTTTTCCTTGAGAGAAAAGTTTATAGTGGGAAATTTTGCTAACATGAAGGTCTGCTCTAAGGTAGACCGCACTGTAGGAGAGTGAACCGACAATAGGTTGCAGATATCATCCAAGAGTGAGTGTTGAATTTGATTTGGGGAGACATTTTTTCCGTAAAAAATAGAGTTATTGCGC